TTCAGCAGCATAGTGGGCTGGAATCAGGATTTTTCTGTTGCGCATTGGGGAGGTTGTCTTAGTCTGCTGCCCTTCGGCATGGCTCAGGGCTCACCCAGTTGCTTGTATTGGTCACTGAAATACTATGCTACAGGGGATAGAGGATAGATGATATCCCTCAGCAGTGGATTAAACAGTAACTAGCCAGTGGAGAGGTCTGCAAGTCAGGGGAAGGACAGGTGGATTTTACAGTTGTGACATCAAGAGTGTGAAGCAGGTCTGATATCCAAGACAGCCACCGCTGTGGTTCCTCGTGCTTCCTGACCATGGCGTGTGCCATTTGCCTTTTGCCCTCTCTTCTGGCTGACTACTGTAACTCAATGGCCCAAGCCCACCATTTCTTGAGCCTTCCTTGGTCATCCCTTTTCCTGCTGTTTTCTGCCCTTGCTGGAGGGGTTAAGGAGCATTCTTCTAAGTCCTTCTGAGGTTCTATTCTCATCTCTAACATGTTTACTATTTGCTAAGTACTTATTTAACTGTGTATGGCCTATCCATGCCAATCCTGGTTGAGAGTCTCCTCAGGGAAACTCCTAGAATGTGGACTAAGGTTCACTGAGTACCTTCAACTTGCCAGACATCATGCCAGGTGTGTCTTATTCATTATCTGACAATCTCTGCACCCTGCCCTGTGAATGGATCTTTATTATTTTCATATTATATATTGGTAAATGGTGGCTTAGAGGTATGAAGTAGCTTTAGCTCCAGGCCATGTATTAAGTGGTAGAACTGGGATTTGAGACCAGTCCTCTTTGACACACAAGCTTCTGCTTTTCCCTTGGTACTGCCCTTCAGATTCTTTGGTGTAGTTCATTGCTAGTACTGATTCTTGGGTTCACAGGTGGCTCAATTAATGTTGACATCTCCATTCCTTTTCCGACTTCTATCAGGGGCACCTCCAGCCATGGCTGAACTTGTTGACTTCTCCCTTTCCCCTGTTTCTTCTTTTAGCTCTTTGTGCTGACTAGAAGATTTGCAACTCTAGTGACAGAGAATGACTGATATAATCCCCACTCATGTCACTGTCAAGGGTTGGGCTTGTCAGCAGTTGGTGAATAATATGCCCATGACGGGCACTGATCATAAATTGTTCCCCATTAGCTGTAGTGGTCAAGCTCGCCTCCCCAAGTCATGGAGTTCCAGATGGGCCACTTCCTGCTCTTATGCTAACAAAAGAGGTGAAAAAAAAAAAAGCTTTAGTATTTGGTCATTTGATTTTTTGCTGGAGCAGAAGGCTCTCTGATTTCCTAGGGGTTTACATTTCTGTTTTCTAAAAGCGAAGTCTGGATCGTTCATGATGGAACGCATATGCTTACTGTGAATTGACATTTATCAGATTAGAAAAACAATTAGCAATTTGTTTTCCTCTCTCTAGATGCCCAGTCAGAATATTAACTGTATGTATTTTTTTTTAATAAATGTTTTATTTTTCTTGCTATGCTCTGCTTCCTTCTTACGTTCTCTTATCAAAGCTACTGGAAAAGTAACTTACACTTACTGAGTGTTTATCAGGTGCCGGGTTCCAGTCCAAATGCCTCATACAATAAATTCATGTCATTCATACTAGCACCCTGTATTGTTGGGACTACTCAGGGCGACTGAGAGTAGCCACTCTGGATATGCTCCACACATCTCCCTAGCCCTATTAACATCGTTGCAATGTGAGTAACGTCCTTGGACAGTGTCACGATCCTAGCCATGTTATCTCCTCCATTAAAGATAAGGAAACGGAGAATCAGAGATGTTAAATAACTTGCCCAATCTCACATTTCTCTGGGTACTACATGCTGAGATTCAAACATAGTTGACCTAGCTGCAGAGTCAGTGAACTGTGTCTTTATCTGTTTAAATAAGGGTCCTGTAGGTCAACAAGTTCTACTTCATCCTGAAACTGTCCTTTTATCTCAGAGAAGTTTCTATGTACATAGAGAAAATTCATTTGTCCCTCTACAAGTGCAAGAGATCGGTTCCAGGACCTCTTGCAGTTACCAAAATTTGGGGACACTCAAGTCCCTTATTTAAATGGATATAATAATGCATATAACTTATGCACATCCTCTGGTATACTTTAAATCATCTCTAAGTTACTTATAATCCCTACTACAATGTAAATGCTATGTAAAGAGTTGAGCTCTCTCTCTGTGTAAATTTTTGTTGTGTTATTTTTTTTATTTAAAATAGTTTTGCTCCATGACAGGTTGAATCTATGAATACAGAACTTAGGATACAGAGGGCCAACTGATTGGTGATCAGGAATCTTTCCATCAAACAAGACCTACTTCTGGCCTATTCTATCTGACTATAGAAATAAATTCCTCATCTCAGCACATGAGCTCCACTGGGTTCACTATACAGTGGATTTTCTCCTTTTGACTGTTATACTAGCTTGTGACTGACCAATGAACTGAAATTGTAATTCAAATCACCTTTCAATGTGAGTAGAGTAAGCATATATACTTTGATGATGGGATAGACACCTTTAAAACTAACCCTTAATGATAGCATCTGGAGGCCTTAGACTTCATCTGTTTCCACCCAAATTAGAAAGAGCCTTATTGATTCTGTGCATTGTTTAAAAAAAATTCTGCCTTGATAACTTTATTAAAGACATTCTCCATCGTTCAGGACTGTTGCAGTCCTTTAAAAGGGCATTCATTTAGATTAGTGCCTCACTGTACTAATCGGAGTCACTTAAGCCAGAAAAGAGGGGCCTCTGGTCTTAGCCATGTGCTTTACAAGGCCCTACAAGCCCCACACATACACACACACACACACACACACACACACACATGATATATTTATTGAAAAGTGCTTGGATGCCTGTATTCCTTTGGACCTGGGACTTAGTGCTGGTATAGTATGACCCATAACTGAACATTCACTCTCATGACTGCTATCATTTGGGCCTCGGTAAAAACCTTCCTCACATTTTGTTTCCTAAGTCCTGAAATACAACCATCTGTCTCTGGGTCCAGCCTCAGTGGCACGGGTGGTAGCATACTGCTCTGCAGCGCTGGAAGCCAGATGTCTGAGCAAATGTTAAGATAATGAGTCAATCTGAAGCATGCCAGTGCTCATGCATTCACTATCCTGATGAGCTCGAGGACTGAGAAAGGGGACTGCAGCACACAAGGCTCTGTCCAGGTGCCTGTCTCTCTTTCTCACTCTTTTAAACAAAGGAAGAAACTGAACAAGTCTATGTCTGGGGTACCATGAAGGCTTGTAGGTTGAACACTCGGGAAACCAGAAGCAGAAGTACTTCGGAAGGATTTGCACACAGAAAGCACATAGTTAAGATGAAAGACAAATTCATGAACATCTCAAGACCTTTCTTTTTCTCCGATGGCATGGAGGCAGTCAATTCCTGCTTGAATCCATGTCTTCTTGTTCAAGTTTCATTTCATGGTTCTGGAGGTGTTCACAGATCGCCATGGTGGCTGATGAGATTATGCAACATGAAACAATGTACACTATTTTAAAATTTGTAGACATAGTTTTTACTTGATATAACATATATGAAGGGACTTTATTTTTTTACAGTCATATTAGAGAAGGGACTTTATTTTTTTACAGTCACTATTAGATATATTGAAACCTATACAGTGAATATTTTTACCTTTGCAAAAAAGTTTAATAATATTTTATTATTTAAAAATGATTCGCTAGCTCAGCTTAGAAAAACAATAGTATAAAAACTTAATAGAGGGACCAGCTTTATGGTATGGTGGTAATGCACTCCTTGAGAAAAGCTGAATCTCACATTGCAATTGTGGTTCAAATTCCATGCCTGGTCAGCCTGAAACATGCAGGACGTGTGCAAATGCCCAAGATCTGGGGGACTGGAGGAAGAGGATCATGGCACAACCAGACTCTCTGGGGAATGCTCAGCTCCCTCTCTCATGCATACACATGTGCTTTATCACGAATAGAGACAAAAATTTAATTCAATAATTGTTTTATATGTAATCTTTTAATTTTTAATATTTTAGAAGAAAGACTTTCAAAAACGTAAAATAATTTTAATCTTGGATTTTTTACTTTATAGCTATTTATATTTTATCAAATATATTCAAAGTTTATGTATTTTGAATTCAGTTGCATTTTAAAAAATTATGGATCATATCCAACAAAACCTGAATTATGTAAAAATATTGATAACAGGCAGTGATTTTTAATTCTTTTTTTATTATTTAATTTTATCTAGTCATTCATTTATTTTAGTTTGACGAGAGAAAGAAACACAGAAAGAAGGAAAGTGAGAAAGCAAACTACCAGGTCAAGAACTCAAATCGTGGCTGGGCATGTGGGAATGTCCAGTGCCTTAACCACCACGCCATCTGCTGACCCCAAAGGCAATGATTTTTATTGAAAGTGAGTAAAAATAATTTTGGCAGGATGAATATGTAATATGAATTATGGAAAGCACTTTTAGATATCATAGACCTATTTTTGACCCAATTCTAATTAAAATTTAGAACTAAATTAATGTAGTATGCTAACTTTAGCCTCTAAAGGATTAAATAGTAACTTTTTTCTTTTTTATTTGCTTTTTGTTCCTTCTAGGATTTGGCTGGTAACAATTTACTTACCAAGTAAGTAGTTTGAGAAGACTCAGCACATAGAAATGAGGGTTATCTTGAACAATCTCTATACTGACCACTTACAATGAAGTTACTTATAACAATATTGCTCATGTCAGGAGGGAGCTTGTATCTTTTAGAAAGCAGCCCAGAAACTTTTGGGAACTGTCCAGAGTTGGGTTAGAAAAATCCAAGATAACTTCATCAAGCCTGGGCAGTATACCATGCAATGATCTAAAGTAACTTAGTGACTTGAAAGCCCAGAAAACCCCATTTGTCATGCTAAGAACATCATTTTATAAAGCATGTGCTGTATGAAAAGGCATAGAGGACCCTCTGTGCACGTCCACCAGAAACCCAACCCCTCCTTGTGCAAGGGCCAGTCAGAAAGAGTCCTTATCCACCTTCCAATACTAACAACAAACCCGTAAGTGCAAATCAAATCCACTTTTCTGTAAGGTGGATGTCAAACTTTCCTTTGTCTCCCATTTGTCTTTCTCAATCTGTTGTCTTACTATTTTTTGGTTGTGCTGGATATATGGCACACCCAAATATATTCAGATCTGTAGTAGTAACTAATAAACATAATTAAATTCACCCATTTTTAATATTTTGGTGACTTTTATCATCAAAAAGATTTTTTCATAATGTTGTTTGAAGATAAATTTTCTGAGGTAGAAAGCTAGGGCATATTTAAGCATTGCTTGATTTGTAAATTTTAAATATTTAGGTATAAGGTACATGGGCCTCCAGTTACACTCTTCCCCTGAGCCCTGCCAAGTGTAACCCTAGGATAGTAGATCAACATCTGTCAGACTCAGTCTGCTCATTTAGAAACTGGAGTTTGTGATCTGTCCAGGCTGTGGTAAGAACTGAGAACGTGAGTCAAAGCACTTTGTAAATTATGAAATACCACCCCAATATGTCAGTGATTATTGTTTGGCATCACAAATTGTCTAAGAGCACTTTAAACGTTGAATGAAAATCTATTTCCACATACCTTGGAATACCAGAATCTTCAAATGCAAAAAGAAAAAGAAAAAAAAAATGCACACGATAGAGAGCACGTTTATATTCTTTCTCCTGCAATTTCTCCTGCATTTTATTCTTTGATAAGATTAGATTTAGAGAAGTGAGGTGCATCCCTCCCTCTGTCTTTGTAATTTGCCCTTATCAGAGGCATCATTACTACCACGCCATTTTCTTTGGATTGTACCTCTTGCTCACCTTTAAAATTGAGATAATTCTCAAAGACATAATAAATTGCAATTTGAAGACATTTCTACCTCTTGTGAGACTTATTCCCTTAAAAAAACTACTCACCGGGGCACTCTCTCTCTGTTTTCCTTGACATTAAATTTTACCCCCCAAAATACGTATCCGTGTTCTTCTCCTTCATGTCATCAATTCCTGGCTAACATAATCACTTTCTCTTCTGTTTTGACCTATTTCTAAATGACTAGTTTATTTTTTCTCATTGGTCAAAATTAAGTCCAGAATAACAGCTTCGCTCTTTGCTGCCTCCTCCTTCTGAGCAACCACATTAATCAGTAAGAGAACTAAAGGTGCATCAATGAGTGCACCTTTAGCATAATTAGACCAATTCTTCTGCTGAAAATTGTGCACATAGAAGTAGTCTGTGGGAAGGAATTACTGACATGATGCATTGATTTTCATTTTGCATTGCTGAACTCATCTGTACCCCAATCTAGCTGATGTCCGGAGCAAAGAGAATGGAATGAATTGAGGTAAGCAGTAAGAACCCCATGATGAGTGAGAAAGATTTCTAAGTATTTGTTTTAGTAAAATTCCTGCCCAACTCTTGAAACGCTGTTTCTGTTTGTTTGTTTTTGTTTTCCCTATGGAACATTGCATCCATAGATCTACATGGAATAAAGAAAATACAATTGTATTATAGAGCTGACAGCGTGTGTATATAACATTAACTGCATGGGGTACCGTGGCAGCAGTTTAGAGGAAAGTTATGGAGACTCACACCCTCCTCCTGCTGCCTCCTCTCCACGTTATCAAGTGATGGATCATTTGAAGTCAAAAGTAAACCCTGTTGAGTTTCTATATCCAACTTAGGGTTGTACCAGAATTAATTATACCTTCTGCTTCTTTGCAAAGGATTGTCACCGATAAATTCTAATAAACACGAGTAGAGAGATTTTATTCATGCCATTCCAAAGAAATTAGAACATAGTAGTGTTATTTAGCAATGCAGATGTTATATTATTGTGTTGTTTATATGAAAATGGATATGACACAAAGAGGTATATCAAATGAACAGGAGAGAGATTTGAGCTGGGCCACTGTTTTGATTATGCATATTTATTCATAATGCAGAAGTCGCTCTATGGAACCTCTTCGCCTAAGATGAATTATCTATTTTTGGAAGCCTCCTTCTTCTTTTTTTTTTTTTAATATTTAGATGTGTCAATACCACCCTAGTACAATATTTATGAGGGCCTTGTTTAAATTGTACTTTAATTGGTTTAGTCTCCAGAGTTGTAAGACATGACGCTAATACCCGGTAGCCAAGTGAGCAGGGGAGATAATGATGTGGCACTGTTATTGGCTGCTGGGGAACAGGACTACCGTACACGGTTTGAAAGCAGTAATTATACTGTGACTCTGATTTGCTGTTTCAGGCACAATGCTGTTTTATCAGATCACCTCAATTTCTATTATGATTATTCTGCCAGTTCCCTATCACCATGCCCATATTTTATTTTATGTACATAATAGCAATGATCCAAAAAGGCATCAATATCCACCAGCTGATTAAAGAATTAAGATAATTCACTAGATGGCTGCATTCATAGGTATTACACTTGCTGCACATATGTACTCACCAGTCTATGATGGAGCATGTATGTATACACATATATATTCCATTCTCATTCTTTCTCATTCATGCTCTTTGTCTTTCTCTGTATGTGTATTTCTTGTTTGAAATATTCATTGTGGTCAATATGATTTAAGAGGTACTTCGAACAATATCATGGTCCAACTTTCTTTAGTCGACTCTTTACTTGGTACCATCTCCTATCTTCTCTTTCCTCCAGTTGTCTCTGCGTAAGAATCAAAACAAGATGGCAGAGCATGGCTTTATCTGAGCTCAGCTGGGAAATGCTGGTCTACGACTCAAATGTTTGCTTCTCTGAGCCCGTACACGTTTATGAATGACAATGGAGGCACGCGAGGACTGATTTGGGGGGTTACAAGTAAACTTTCATAGCAGGCTAATTTGCCAACTAATATGGAATCTATGAATAATGACAATTTGCTGTAACATATTTGTGCTTTTTTTTTGATTGCCCAAATGCTGGACCATCTGCCAGTAGTGATTGCTCAATAAAGGTTTGTTAACTGGGAACCAGCGGATGGCATAAAGGTTACATTGCTGGACTCCCAAGTGGTTTGCCATGGATGGAATCCCGGACACAGTTTGAGTCCCAGCCTTGGTGACTTAAAACTCATGCCAGGCATGTATGTGTTCATGCATGCCCAAAATTCAGAAAGAGTAAGGGAGTAGAAGGGCATGGCCATTCCCCTGGAGGGTAATTTCTTGCTTTCTGTCTCTCTTTGTCTTTCCAGGCAGCACACATGCCTTATAACAAAAATCTCTCTTAAAAAATAAGTTTTGTTGACTAAAGGCATTGGTAAGTTCCAGAATCAAAGAATGAAAGTTGAGTTTATTTCTCTCTTTGTATGTGTGGGTGTGAGTGTGGGTGTGAATGTGCATGAGAGAGACATTTCTTCTAGTATGTGGAAAGGCATACAGCGAAAGTATTGAGAGCATGGACTCTAGAGACAGATGATCCAGGTTAGAGTCCTCACTCTGCCACATAACCTTCTGTATGAGGTTGGGTCTCAGTTACATCTTTTTAAAAACAAGAAATAATAGTAGTACCAACCTTAGACCATATCACAAAAATTAAATGAGTTAGTATTGAAAAGAATTTAGAAAGTGCCTATTACATAGAACTAATAAAGTATTTGATTTAAAAAAAAAAAGGCAAAACAAAACATTGCCACCAATAACAAGCACAACAGTCCCAGCCTCTGTGGTGCAGTTGGGAGTGTACTAGACTGCAGAACTGGAAGCCACATGCCAAATGACCTTCCAGTGCTCACCCGGGCCCTCCTGTAAAACATGCTGTGTGTGTGTGTATGCCCAGGATCCTGGAGGACAAAAAAATTGGACAAAAGGGATTGTGGCAAAACTGAGGCTTGTGGAGAGTGCCTTTCTCTCTCTCTTTTTCCCTCCAATTCATCTACATAGTGTCTATCATAAAAAAATAAAGCCAATAGTCAACCATATCATGACTGAATACTTAATATTGCAATGAACTATTTTAAGGTATTTAAAAAAAATGTATGCACGTATAAATTTCTAACTTCCTATCCTTTTTGGGAATAAAGATATCCATGTTTCTTCCTCAGAAGAAGGATAAGAGAGTATGCTGAAAGCTGTATTGAGAAGTCTAAGCTTAAAGAAATGCAAAATATTACGAGACTTTCTTTGTATCCGAGCCTGGGAGTCTTCAAAGCCAGGATGTGGTCTCTTGGGCCTGTCCTCGTGCTGCTTGGAAGCTTGTACTTTGCAGTTCACCCAGCACATGGACAGGTAGCAATTTTGTTGTGACTTCCTCACACTTAATGTCTTTGAATGAGCTGACAGAGCTCCCTGCTGCACTGCCAGGAAATATCCATTTAGGGTGGAACTGTATACATTTCTTCCCTTTTCCACCAATCAACAGGTTGTAACTTAAGATAGAAATGAGGCCTCTGAGTTCATGCTAGAAATGGGGGGAAAAAGTAAGAAATGATAGGTTGTCAGCTTCCCTGAAAAGGTGCAAGGCACCAGAACTGAAAATAAAGACTTTATTGCCTTGCAAAGAAGGCTTGGTAGCATTCAGATATTACCTACATCTGCTTTAATGATTCCATTTAAGCTGTCATTTTCTGCATTTACCTTGCAGCATTCAAAAGCAGCTATACTTACATGTTCACAGCCAACGCGTTGCCAGCATCACAAAAAGAGGGAGGAAAAAAAGGAAAGAAAATGGTATATGATGTATTTCAAAGAACAGTTTCCTTGTAGAAAATTAGCTATAATTTTGAGGCTACTCTTAAAGGGAAATAAAGTTTCTACAGAGATAAAAAATGCTGACATTGAATAAAAAAGGTGGCGAGAGAGAGAGACAGAGAAAGAGGAAGACTGAATTAATTTCCTGGTTTCTTTCTCTACTTTTTTGCTATTTGCTGGGATGCCTGGTCAACCGCTTCAGTGGTGACTGCAGGGAGGCTGGGGTGAAGTCACCCTGCTTTTATTCTCAGTGTGACTGAGGCTGATGGATAAAGGGGGAAAATATAGGGGTTCCTTTGTTTCCTGAGAATTCATTCTGCCACTTATGGAGCAGGTATGATAGTGGTTGTGGTTTTCAAAGGGTCTGGGGAAGGCCCCAAGGTTTCTTTTTGTAATACTCCTTAGAAATCTCATAGTGACTTACAATCTATAAATGAAAAGCACCTTGACTATGGCAATTCTGTTATGGCTGGAAAATATTCTGACTCAAATGCTGCAATTTCTACTCTTTATAAGCTTTATTACTCATGTTCCAGCTTAAATCCCACTACCACTGCCTCTGATCTCTCCAGCCTGAGTGTCTTCCTCCTCTACGTAAGTTCCTATGGTTCTTGTTGACCTGACCCTGTGCTGAATCCCATGGAGTGCTGAACTAGAGCATTTGTTTGTTTATGGATCTCTGTTTAGTTTCTCAAACCTCTCACTAAAACTTAACTGTGTGCATTCTGAGTTCTACTTGGGGCCATTCAAGACTCCATCTCAGCTGGTTGCAGGGGATAGCTGTTTGACACCATGATAATCTCTCTGCTAATTTTTGCTACAGGTGAACTTCAGAGCCACAGAATCTGTACTACTATGCTTATTTACTTTTTAAAACGTTTTTCCTTGCACATTTTGTCCATTAGGAGATTCTATTTACTTTAAGCTTCCAAAAGGACTCAATCTCATTGCGTTAGTAAGTCAAGGAAGAGTCTTGAGCTGACTATTCAAATCAAGAAATCTTGGCTTCATGGGAAGAAGGCTGGTTTAGGACTTAGCTGTCTTCGTCCATCTGTCCATGATTCTCTACTGAAAGCCCCTTCTTTTATGGGGTAATGATAAAGTCATCTTGATACAACAGAGTACTCATGCTTACACAAAATGGGACTTCATAAGTCTCTTTGTAATAAATTAATGCATCAATGAATTAATAAACAAATTCAGCATCCTTGAGCAGTACTCTTAGTCCGTTTTTAATCTCCTGTGACCAAGGGGATATGCTTAATATCCTCTTAATCCGAGTGCAAAATTCAACAAGTTTATGCCCACCTCTCAAGAGAAGTCATTCAATCCTTTTCTGAGAAATGAATAGTTGAAAAGATAACATTGGAGTTTCTGAAATAGCTGGTAAGGATGTAGTCAGGAAATATTGTTTATTAATGTTACTGCAAAGATACTTTATTTTCCAGTAGGTGAGGGGATCCTGAGACGCTGTATGGGCTAGGATTTAGTTTTTAATTATTTAGCTAATTATATTATTTATCTATTATTGTTATTTAGTTACTTAGTTCAATTATTTTTCTGTTTTGACTAAAGAGAAGAATTCTTAGCTTGATTTGACTCTATGGTCAAGTTCCATACAGTCAATATCTAGAATATGGTAGGAATTCAGTAATTACTGTTTGAGTACAGAAAGGGCATGGAGATAGCAGTGTCATAAAGGTAGGTGAATAGAAGTTGAAAGGCTTAAGAAGAATACTTTGGGTTTCTGCCTCTCCCTTTTCCAGATACCCTTCTATATGGGGCATGAAGAGCAAGACAGAGAAAGGAATACATTTTTAAATTTATCTCTGCAGGACTGATTCTCCTTCGTTCTATTTGAAATTGAGCAGGTTGACTGCACACCTCCCTCCACACTCATCTTCTCACTTTATATCAATTCCACTGTTCTGCTGGAGAGATTTTAAAGACATAATTTCCATGGCAGTATTAATCATTGAATGCAGGTGGTTTCACTTTTCACAAATATTTAGCTCCACCAGGAAACAAATTCTGATACCAGGGATCTCATGACTAATAGATCCTGAGACATGATTTCACAAAGGTATTCCTTAGTTAATAGTTACATTATAAAATACATAATATATACACTATTACATATAATATATAATAATTATGTCATAAATAAATAATATATTATATATAATAATATATCATAATAATTGCAGATTTCCGGGAGTAAAATAAGTTTGAAAAGCATTGTTTAAGCATAATTAAACATATTGAACATCTCACTTTCTATGTTTAGTATACAAAAATTTTATTTGAATCTTCATGTTTCTCAAATTTATTTTCCCACTTTTTTTTTTTTTTTTAAGAAAGTCTTCTGAAAGATTAGTATTCTCTGAAAAATTCTTTGGAAAAATTCATAATAAACCACTTCCCAGAATTCAGTCACAGAGTGGAGGATTATAAGCCTCAATTTGAAAATGAGCTAAGATGGAATAATACTCTGATTTTTTTTTCATTTCCTAATTCACACAGCGTTATTCATCTTCAGAGACAAGAATGTTGAACACTACACCCTTTTACTAAAACAAGAAAGAATACATTATAAGTGCATGCGAGAATCCTTGCAATCAAATCACTTCCCTGCCTAATGACTAGTTTAGTTATTGATAAGATTGGGGACAGTAAGTCTCCGAATTCTATGCTGTAACACTTCATATAAGCCATGTATCATTTTTTTTATCTGTTTCAAAGTCATTAATTAGCGAAGAAGTGTATCCTGAATGCAGCAATTTCTCTATAAAAATCTCAGATATAAGACGGAATGGATACAGGCTGATCAAAATGTATTGTTATATGTCCCATAATCATGGTAGATCATTTGACTAGTATCAGACTTTAGACTTTATACTTTAATTTTCTGCCATAGCTGAAAGGACATTTCAGTCAAATGTGGCAGAAACTCGGGAGCCTCAGATCGCCACAGGTGTTTTAATCATCAGGCAGGCTCTTGGGGAATCGCATTGATGGCTGGCTAGGC